GTAGACGACCAGACCAAAGCAAAGCAAAGCAAACGAGACGAGACGAGGCGAAAGGATGTTCTCTGTGTCCTGAAGTGAAGTTCTTGCCCCAATAATGAGCTTAGTATGCATAAAGCGGTGTGGCAGGCGAAAGAAATTGTCAAAATACATATATTTTCTGGACAATTTTCTTTCTACTTCTTAGAAAAAAAAAACGGGAGGGGTGAGAGTGGGAATACAATGGTGGAAATTGGCAGTCGTAAGCCAAAAAGTTTGGGGGCGTACACTTGGATTATTGTAAAAAGCCTTTCAGTCTTTCATTTTGGTCACTTGGCCAGAGAAAAGTTTCACAAAAGAAAATTGATTGCATTACTTAGGAGGGAGGGAGGGCCGGATTAAAGGGGTAGCCTGTGTCTTTATGATCTTTTCAAAGTGCTGTAAAGTACAGCACTTTAAAAAAAAAAAACAAAAAGCACATTCTTGCTTGACGGGAAAGGCAAAGTCAAAACATTTTAGCATTCCGCACAACATTCGCCAAAGCCAATTAGCAAAAGTTTTCATTTATCAAAGCCCCCGCGATAAAAGAAAAAAAAATGGCAAAAAAAAGGAAAAACCTTTTGCTCTTTTGATGAACTTCCTGCCACTCCCCTACACTCCCCTCCACTGCACTCCTCTTACCGATCAAACCGCTCAAGGCGCCATGCAAATGCTGTGCACTGGCCGTAAAAACACTCCAAAAAGAAAGAGAGAAAAAAAAATCTAACGAAAACGAAAAAAAGAAAACTGCGAACCGCAAATTTTCCATGTCATTGCATAAGTCGCTTCATTAGTCCGAACAAAAACAAAACCTAAACCAAAAAAATGTCTCACGCAAGATGACATCAAACGAAAAGGAAAAAGGGGGAAAACCAGCAGTGACAGAGGGAGAGGGAGGGAGAGAAAAAACTGTAAATCATTAAAAAGAGAGAAACAACAGGAAAAACATTACCACAAAAGAAGAATAAGAAGAAGGCGACATGTTTTTCCGTTCGTTAATAAACTGCAACGAAATCTGACAGGAGAAGACAACAAAAAGGGAGGGGGAGGAGGGTAAATGGCGCAGAAAAAGGGTACACGGTGGGTGGGGGGAACAAGAAACCACAAGGCGTCATGAATTCCGTGCAGGGATTCCGCGGCGCGTCTCGTCGCGGCGCGGCACGGCTGCCAGTTAGAATTTTAAAATGAACCGCAGAGAAAACCCCAAATAGACCGCGGAAGGAACGAGCAACGCATAAGCCCCCCGCTATCCCCCACCCACAGCTCCACGCTGGCAAAACAAAACCCGAAAATTGTCAAAGGGTTGCCTCGTAAACACCACCACGCCGCCACCCACGCCCGCCCCACCATAGAAATGACAGTAGGAAGTGGCACCAAAAGTGAGAGAAAAAGATTTCGCCCACCCCCCGCAAAATAAGTAAAATAAAACAAGAAGATTTTCTTTAAGTATTTTGCCAATAAATTTAAATCACTGACAGTTAACAGCAAGGAGCAACGCACTCGCCATGGGGAGGGGGGGGGGGGGCCCCGAGGTCAGGTTCAGGCAGCAATAAAAAAAAAAACAATAGACAGGGAAAATCCAAGCCGGAAAAGGGGTCGCGTGGGGTCGCAGCGGCACAGCAGAGGAACAAACGGAAACGGCATTAAAAACCAACAAACGCAAAGGACTTGCACACACAAAGACACAAAAGAAAGAGGAAGGAAAAAAATATAGAATAAACAAAGGACCCAAAGGGGAAAAGCAGTCACGAAGCACAGGAACGGAAGGGCAGGGAAATGAAGGAAAAGCGCGTCAGAAGCCAAATAAAGCGTTAAAAGGATTTATTCGCAGGGAGCACACAGGACAGGAGCGGCAGTGCGGATGGAGTCTATCTAAGGGAGAGAGAGAGAGAGTGGGAGTTGTGCCCCATAAAAGCAGCTTACAGGTGGCACCTGCACCTACCCAGTCTCCCTTCTCTGGGTTTCCCAAGCAGAGGCTTACTTCTTTACGAATTCTCCACACACACACACACACACACACACACACAGCTCTCCCTAAGCCAACAAACTTGCCTCGTTCTTTTTTTTTTTTGAGAAAAGCCTGCCCTGCCCCATGTTTCCCCACTTCTTTTGCGAAAATTAAATACGCGGAAATGTATGCGAATATTTTTTATGTTTCACGCATAATTGTTAAATATGATTTACACTCTGCCTTTCCCATTCCCCTTTTCGCTTTTCGCTTTTTGGGGGGAGTCGGGGGAGGCCAATATGTTTTTTTAAATTTTATGCAGATGGCAAAAAATGTTCTGCCATAATTTGCGCATATAAACAATAATCTTTTGTGAGAGTTTTGAACATAAATTGCGAATATCCTGACTGGATTTTCATGCTCTCCCCTCCCCTCCCCACTCCATAATGCATTTGTTGTTCCAGAACTGAAGATAACTTATAAATCATGTAATCAGAACAGAGCAAAAGCAGCAGAAACAGCAGCAGCAGCAGAGGAAATGGGAGCAGAGCATGAAAAACTGAAATTGCTTTTTGTTGCTAGGGAATGGGATTGTGGGAGAGAGGGGTGCTACGCGAGACGCAGAGAGAGGTAGAGTGGGGCTGTGGGAAGCTGTATTGGGCATGATGGAGAACATCTCCTCCCCCCACCTCGCTAACTGTGTGAAATGTGCTGCTGCTGCTGCTCCTCCTCTGGAATGCTTTCACAACTCTATAATTTATTGTGCCTTATATAACTTTATGATTGCTTGGGCACTGGGTGGCAGCGATGGCGGTGGCGGTGGCAAGAGGAACTGGATTCGGTTCCAACTGAATTGATTTTGATGGATAAGGGAATTAAAAAGTACTCTGCAACAGAGTTCCTTCACAAGTTTGTGCGGGGAGAACTTCTACGCAAGAGTTCTATAATGTATGATGGGGAAAAGGAGTTTCAAAGATTGGGTTAGAGAATGTAAATAGGAATAAAAGTATATATAGGTATTGGAATATACATAATTATGTAGCATATAAGAAGAGGAGGATTAGGGTTCCACGAGTAATGCAAGCAATAAAGCAATTCCATCTTTGTGTAAGTTGCAGAATAATGATACTATAGGTCGAAAATTAAAACAGAATATCGCTGTGTAAATTGGTTGATTCGAGTTTTCAGCAAATTATGGCCATGAACAGAGATATTTCAGGTGGATTTTGGGTTCCCTGCTATTCTTTTCCCTGCTCTTCTCTGTTCTTCCCTTTTACATTCCATCACATTGTCCCCCACATTGTTTTCCAACTTACTGAATACTTGAGGAACTTGCAGCATTTATGTCAAGCCCGTAAACACTTTCGTTCGTTCATTGCGTTTCCCTTTCACAGGAATAGTTTTCCACGAGTTTTCCACACCGCCCCCCACCTCCCCAGAGTTTGTTGTTCCACAATAATCCCAACAACGGCATCTAGCGCTGCAACAAACACACACCACCTAGCGTTAGCGTCAGGATTATTCAATGTCAAAAGTGCATAACTTTAAGGGAATGCGACAGAGAGAGAGAGAGAGGCACAAGGAGAGGGACAGGCTTAAAGGAAGGAGGCAGGCAGGCTCCTGCTGCTGCTGCTGCTGCCCTTGGAGCTGGCTCACGTGCCACGGCGCTACAGGAGGTGCCTCCTCCTGCTGCTCTTTCCCCTTTGAGTGCCTCCTCCTCCGAGTGGGAAAGTGGCAGTGGAACAATAATGGAAACCGGTAAAGATATATGGAGCATGCAGAATTTCCCATTTGGATATGAATAATTCCCCTTTTGGAGCTGACGTGGCTGTTGCTGTTGCTTTTGTTGCTTTTGTTTCTGTTGTTGTTGCTGTGCATTTGCTTGTTAATATTTTCATTTCCGTTGTTTTATGGCCCGATTCCGAAACATTGCCTAGACAGGCCCGCCACAAAGGATATACGCTTCTTCAGCGGGGCTATGCACGGCTTCGGAAGAGACAGAGAGAGAGAGAGAGAGAGTGAGAGAGAGAGGAGGCAGCGATGAGAGTTGAGTGCCCCGTTTTACAAGAACAAAACGAGCTGAAACAAGAAGCAACAGCTTCAAGTACAAGAGCAGCAGAAGCAACAGCAGGAACAGGAGCCACAGGAGAAGCAGCAAAAGAAGGAGCCGCAGGAGAACGAGCAGCAGGAGAAGTAACAGCAAAATGAAAACCATAACATTCCACAAGGCTTATCATTGGGGTAGCAATGTCAGAGGGTATGGCCTCCTCCTGCTTGCCATGTTCCTTTTTCCACTCCATTGTTTGCATAAAATTGCAATTTACAATTATGAGCAAAGAGCTGTGAAAACAGTACTGATGATAAGTGAAAATGGGAAATGCTTTCCCTTAGATAAGGCACTGGGCGATGAAATGTAACAGAAATAGAAGCAGCAGCAGCAACAGCAACAGAGACAGAGACATTAGCTAAATGAGACAAAAACGTTGATAAATTGCCAAAGCAAACAGAGCAGGGAGCAGGGAGCGGGGAGCGGGTAGGGTCGCTCCAATAAAAGAAGGAACAAAACTCAAGAGAAGCGAAGAGAATTCCCTAGATGATGCATTCCCCGACGCCAAAAAGATCCTTCCATAATTAGACACGCATCTCCCAGCACACACACACACAAAAGACGCTCGCAAGGCCCAAGATGGAGGCAGAGGCAGGCATAAATTAATGCCAGAAACTAAGGGACGAGGCCCAGACACAGACACAGGCACAGACAGACATCTTATCATTAAATTAGTTGCCTTCTTTCACTCGTAGCGTGGGGAGGGGGGGATGGTGGCAGCCTCCTCTCCTAAATGAGAGATTATGGGCACAAGCGGGGCAATAAATTACCCAAATCCTTATGAATGAGCGAGCCAGCATTTGCAGCTTAAATTGTGCGAAAATTGTGAGCACATTGGCAGCGCGCGAAAAGCATGAAAACTAGGAAACTCAACTAGGGAAAATTTCCCTTTTGGAAATTGATCTTAAATTTTAATGAAAAAAATCTTACCTCCATATCTGCAATTCGTTTTATCAGCGGGTATATTGCCATTCGGTTCGAGACGATCCAGATACTCCTCCGAATTGTAGCCATTATATGGAACTTTATTACCGTGATTATGATGCCCGCCATGACCGCCGCGATGATGATGATGGTGATGGTGATGATGATGCGTCGACTCGTCGCCATCTTCGCGGGAAATTGCTGCAAGAAAAGGAAAAGATTTTCAACGAATTAGTTCAACATTCATGGAGATTGGAATGGAAGTCTTTAGGAGGGAGTTCTCCCCATTAAGTTTTCCGCCAATTAAATACGATTTTGTTTCCTCTTTTCACACAAATTTTCCACTTTCCACTTTTCTGTTTATCTGTCAATAGCTGTGCCCCTGCCACTCCCTGTCAATATCCATTCCCTTTCCGCATTGCCCTGTCAGTATCCATAAACGTTCAAGTGGTTTTGTCTCCACTTTACAGTTTTACACCGCATCCTGACGGACCGACCGACCATTAGCTCGTGACAGTTTTAGGCGACCCGACCCCCTCCTCGCCAAGTGGCTGCCAATCAACGCCCTATGGTCACACTCTTTGCGGGTCAATATGCCAGGCTCTTTTGTGGTTGAGCCTTTGGCAAACCGCAGTATTGCGGCTCTCACTTTCCTCTATTGATGGTTTTCCCTGTCCCCTGACTTTTGGCCTACAAATGTTTGCTAGCATTTCCGGCACACATTTCTGTGCCTGACTTTCCATACAAATGTTTTCGTTTTGCTCAATAAACTTGAATCGGAAATGTCAAAATGTATCAAATTAAAAACTTTTATTTGGACACGTTTTAAAGGCTTAAGAGCCGAGCCGCAAGGGGCTTGTGTAGGAAACATTTTCCACTTCAACACACACATCGTAAAAGGAAATGAGGAAAGGGTGGAGCAAAGGCTGGACTGGTGCCGAGGGTGGGGAGCAGTGCGGGGAGTCACGAGTGGACGCTGGTTAAAGGCTTCGGGTCTGTGTGGTGCTATTTTCGAGGGTATTTTCGAATGTGTCGAATATGCAAATGAGTCGTCGAGTCGCACCGGCACAAGGTTTTTCCCTGGCGCAAACAAAAAAAAAATGGCCTAAGCTTTTGTACAAATTTATATGGCAGTCGACGGAAACAAAAAAAAAAGGGGGACGACGGCATAGCAGGACATCACAGAGGCGGGGCATGTGCCACAGTGCCTTCTAATTTCCAAAACGGAAACACAAAAGGCAGGCAGCAGGCACCAGGCACCAGGCAGAGGGCCGGAGTCCGGACCAGTGTTTTGGCCAAGATTACCAGCCAGGTACTGCGCGGCTTGCCACCTGCTACGTTCTGGCCTTTTCCAAGCCCAAAAAAACGCGAAACGAGAAAGCGAGTCAAACGGGAAATTGGTTGGATATTAGCTTACCGCATACATACAGCCCCACCACACCCCTCCACATCCTTTACCCACCAACCCCTTTTTTCATGGGGTTATCCTGACTTCGCTGGTGAGCCTGCAATTTGCTAACGATATGCATACAAGTGGGCGTGGCTCTGGCTTAGAAAATGGGGGAAAAATTCCAACAGAGGCCCCGGCCGAACTGAGGATTTTTCCAGCGCAAAAGTCAGTCAATAAATTGTAATCAAGCAGAGTGAGGCAGAGGCAGCAACGGAGAAGATGGAATGCAGATGGAAAAAGCCAACGAAAAAGATGGGAAAAAAAAACTGTGTCTCTGCCTCTGCCTCTGGTTTAGCTTCAAATTTCGGATGCGAAAAACAAGAAGCAAAAATCTTTAAAGATTTTTCGATTTTGGGTTAAATTTTCCAGCGATCAATAATGTACTTTAATGGGGGGTAGGAGGCTCCTCTTGAGGCTCCATTTTTGTAGTACCCTTTACCCTGAAATATTGGCATTTCCTCATTCACCCCCTCATAGGGGTATGGCCACACTAATTCCATCAGCTGTCGGCAAACAAAATAAATTATGGACAGAGTAGAGCCACAAGCAGAGGAGAGGCAGCAGCAAATATGTTTAATTAATAGCTAAAGCAAATAATACATGAACCCAAGGGATAAATCCACCCTCAAAATTTCACAAATGGGGGACCACTCCCTGACGCCCTCACACCCACACTCCCCCCTATGGGATGATGTCACCCCGCACCACAAATCACAAAATTACCGCAAATTGTCGCTACAAATAAGCAATTTATTTCGGACTGCCTGCCATAAGAAATAAGAACATAAGAAGGAACAGCGCAGACAGCGGGGAAGAGTGGAAAAGAGCGAAAGAGAGCGCTCTTTCACTCATCTTTGGGAATGATTTTTGGGGGAAAGAGCAAAAGAAATCTCATAAACTTGTGCCAAAACACGTTGTCCACGAAAGGGTGGGAGAGAAAAAGCATATGAAGGAGATGTAGAGGCATCTGCAGAGGAGAGCAGTGGATGAGAGAAAGAGTTGGGGAAGAAGTTGGAGCTGCAGAACAGCAGTTGCCACAGGAGCAGGAGATGGACATGTAATCAATAAAATATGTTCACCATAAACCATACACACACAAATCCATAAAGGGAGCAGGATTTGGGTGTGTCGGGGGGAAAACACATTATGCAATGAGAATGGCAGCCACAAAAACCAGAGTTGGTAGCAGCAGCATTCGCTTCAGCATTACATCAGCTGCAGAGGAAGACAGAGAGGGCGAGTATTATGCAGAAGAGTATTCCTATTATGTGGCAAATAGAAAAGCCAACAACCATATGAATATAAGCATCAATTCCCCCCCATTGTAAAAACTTTAAAATAAGTTTTCCTTCGCTTTAGGTTGTGGGGTGATTTATTCGAAAGAAAGCGCCACACAAGCAGAAAACAGAGAAATGCGAGCACTGCTGACGCATGAGTGACAGACAGGACAGGACAAGGCGAGAACACTAGTCGGACAGGACGCGGGACACGGGACACGGGACAGGACTTTGGACAAGAGAAAAGCCAATTGAACAAAGCCCGCAAATTGCAGGAGCAAAAAGATGGGGCAGAAGGGGTTACGGAGTGAGGGAACAATGGAGAGGAGAGGCTAAATTAAATCAAAGCAAAACCACAAAAAAAAGAATGAAAAACTTTATCGAATAAATGCAATAAATTTGCAGAAAAAAAAGGAAAAAGAAAAGAGAAGGAAATATGGTATTAGAGAGGGCAAAAAGTGGCAGAAAAAAAGAGGGTAAAAGAGGGAAAGAAGTGACAGAAAAGGAGCCCACAGACGCACGAAAGTTGGAGAAAACTGAGAGCTATCCTTGGGCTGTATCTTCTGGTTAAACGTTTAATGCGCTTTGGCTGCAGAGCAGGAAGGAACGAAAGACAGAAAAAAGAGGCTGCAAATCCCATTTATAGCTTTGGGTACATAATATGGGGGCTATGGGCTATATGCGCCTGGGTTGATCCTTCAGGACTTAACGGCTACTAAAACCTGGCAAATCAAGAAAGTGTTGAGCTGGCTAAGGATTTATTTTGCATCGTAAAACAGGAACGAAAAAAGGAAACACTCAATGATTATGATGCGTCGTGAACAGTCTTCGTTTTCCTCTATAAGTTTTCCCGTTCAGAGATGGATTGTGGCAGCCATACATCAAGAGCAGTCCTCTTTCTGCCCTTTATTGACCTGCGCCAAATGTAACTAAACGAAAGAGCAGCCAACCAGCAGACAATAGACGAAATCAGTAATTTATCCTTGAAATTGGTCACCAACTGGACATGGGATGCAGCAGCAGGATATGGACTGGACTGGGACTGCGACTGCGACTAGAACTTCAGACAAAAGCCGAAAATCCAATTGAAAGCAAAGCTGATGCGACACTTCAAATGCTGACAAAATACATCGCATTAACGAAACCCTCGAAATCCGAGGAACAATGCTAAATGCAATTTGCCAAGTGGACAGTCCCCGCCGCCACTGCCGCTCCCACCCCTCTCCACACAAAGAGAGCGGAGCGAATGAAATGTTAAATTTCAAGAGATTCTCTGTGTGTGTCTGTGTGTTCGTGTGGTATATGCCACATTGTGTGTGGCAAAGCAACCTCACTGCCTGCCCCTCACTGGGCATGCAATTAAGGCTCTTTTTGCAATTTAATCAATTTATCAATTAAGCAAAAAGCAAAAGCAAGAAGGGAGAAATTTCAGTGGTACGTGCAACAGAGCTGAGTGTGGACTTTCTGGGACAGGGACTGGCAGGACATTCCTGATTGTTCCAGCATTTCTCTGTGCTTTATTTTTTACGTACTTTAAAAGGCAATTTCATTAGCATTTCAAAGTGCCACGTCGCGAACTGTACTGTACTCCTCCTGGACTGCTACTGGAACTGTGGCACTCCTCCCTCTGGAATTCACGTTGGTGGGTGGGTGTGAGGGGGGGGGGGGGTGGCCACCGAACAGAGTCAATAATGTTGTTAATTGCCCTCCTACTTGGTACAACGAGCGTGGGCGTTTCTGCCACTGGATGTGGCAACTGTGGGCGTGGCACTTGCCTTCAACAATGAATGCTGTTGCGCGCGTCGGCAATTAACTTTTGTAAATAATGCATAATTGCCGGGGGAGAAATGTGCAGAAAAAAAAAACAGAAACAAGGAAATAACAGCAGCAGAAACAGCTGGCAAAAAAAAAAAGGGTGAAAAAACAAGTTGCAATGAACTGTTTAAACTACTGAAGGCAGGTCGAAGTTTGGGGCAGTGGCAGTGGCAGTGGCGGGGTGGTTGGGTATCTGGCATTGACTGTTAATTTCTGCAGAGTTCAATTGAATTGTTCGGCCAGACAGACGGACATACAGTCTGATTGAAAATGTCTAAATGATTTGCATATTGGAAAATAAGAACAAAAGCAGCAGAAAACAGGCACGGACGGGAGTGTCAAACTGTTAACAGAATGGAATGTTATACTGTCACACTACAGTAACTCTAAGTTGATAATGCACTGCTTGCAACAGTAGCTACAGATCAGCTTGAATAAGCAGTAGCTCCGACCAGTCACTTTCAAACACAGTGCAGTTTCTCAGCCGCTGCAATTCTCATTTAAAATTCATTTAAACTATATTTTAATTCGAAAAACTTGACAACTTTTACTTAATTACGGTACAGCTAAAACTTGCTGTGCTATACAACAAAACTTTCCGAAAAGACAAAGTAGCAAAGCAATGCATGTTAAACTGCAAAAAGCGCTGTTAAAACTTT